TCTTTCTCGTCCAAACTTTGTAATACACAGAATTTCCACAGTCACTTTAAACTTAACTACTTTTATAAACACACTCTAGAATTCACAGCGATTCACACACTTTACTTACGGTGCCTACTGTTCGCTTGACTCAATTATCTCAATTATTTCTCTTCAATCTATCTCCGGCTTATATACTAAAAAAGAGGGCGTCTAGCAAACGCTGGGACATTCGTGATGTTGCCCGCTAAGTCACGATCCTTCTAGAAACTTCAGTGGGCATGCTCCCAGCTTCGCATGACTTCCGCTGTCGTAACATTATATTAGTGAATTTGTATGCAGTAAAAAAACAAACAGTCTTAGTAGGACATTTCATTACAGTTTGAAGCCTAAAATATGTGCCTTAATTTTATAAAATATTTTACTAAACAGTTTTAATCACTGTGCATTCTGTTCACCGTAGAGAATCGAACCACGGATTTTAGCATTGTAAGGCTGTAAATTACCGCTGAGTCATTGCGGGGTAAATCATGAAAATAGAAATACGTTCACGGAACTATACCAAAACTTCTATGCGATTTCAATTATTTGGGGTCTGTTTATTTCCACAGATGGCACCGCGAACGATTAAATGAGAAGTACTGATACTGTGATAGTGATAGATAAGAGTTAAGAATGGAAAATATTTGAACTTGAAGTTTGAGTATGTAGTTTGTAAGTTTATGTAAAAATAGAACGTTATTTGAATATTTTGATCGTTGGAAACTATAAATTATTCTTCAAATTGTCACTAAACATCAAGCATGAGAACTTCTCTGTAAGCTTCATATTTCATGAAACAAAACTTCAAAAGTAAAATAATGAAGTTGTGTTAAGCTTAAAAAAATAGAACTTATTTTTTAATATAACTTTTAAGTGAGTTAAGATTGCGCTTATAGTGTTATAGGTTGAAGTGCAGCTATTTGGCCTTCGAAACCAAACTTAAGTAAAACAGTTTTTAATTAAAATGAAATAAAATGCGTTAAAGACATTTTTAAAATTAGATTACTAGTACTGTTAGTAGTACTACAGTGTAACCCTAGTACTAGAGTTATTGCTGGTGTTGGAGAAATCGTTAAAATAAATGTCTTGGTATTTGGTTTGACATCTGCACTGTGTAGTTAACATTCAAATTAGGGGCATCTTACCTTGGTTGATACTTAATTGTGATACTTAAAAATTAAAGACATTTGCCACTGCATAAGAATAATGTCAATTTTTGTCCTTAAAAAAGTAAAGAAATAACATTAATAGGTGAGATTTATGGTATTATTTGAGTACTGATAGCTCAAGTGCTTACTAATGCTACCATTGCCAAATAAGATCATGAGTTAATACCTTTAACATTTGCCTATTGGACATGTATCTAAACCTCATAGAACTTGGTCTAAAAAATGAATTGTATGAGCTTGACTATTGGATAAAGTACTGCCTCTGTGTATGAACATATAGTAAGCCTTTGCAGGATATTGACAAATTAAGAGACATAATACTTTAATAGTAATAATACAAAATATTAGTAAGTGAATGTTTGTTTCTTTATTTCTACATGTATACTGACATGTCATACTCAGTTACAAATTAATTACTTAATGTGCAACAACTAGTCCATTTAAATATCTTACTTGTAATAAATTTAGTAATGTAACTTGGTTACTGCATGAGATTGAGAGGGAAAGCCATACCTCTTTTGCACAGATTTCATGGGGATAGACCAATATTCTGAATATATTCTGCCACTAGTACTGGAGTTTGCTTTATTCTTATTGTTATTCAACTTTTTCATTATCATTAGAATTTTGACATAATTTTTCAAAAAATTAGAAAGAATTAATTATGGGTATAAATAATATAGGTCTCTGGCATGATTACAAATATATATCAAAATATTATCAGCTTTTATCCCTAATATAACATCATACACGTACTACTGTTTATGTAATATAACAACCTGAATGAACATTAGCCTACATGTTGAACTAATTTTACATTCAATTTTCAGAATAACGGTTCTGTAGAATATTGGGTTGTAACTGATTCCAAAATTTGACCCATAGGTAGCTTTGAACAATTTATTTAGCATTCTAATTGTTAGGCTACAATGTATTGCTTGCACTCTAGACTTTGCTTAACCCACTGTGTTAAGTAAAAGTTACAGTTAAGGTTTTTGAAACTTGAATTTTTGGCTTGTAGCGTATTGTTGATCTTAATTTGTACTTCATTTGTTTTTTACAGATTTTGAATGTTATCCACTAAATGCACATATAAATATATGATGTTCTGAACTGCTAGTTTCTGATGTTATTAACAAATGAAAAACATTTTTGAAAATTGAAATGTTATTAGAGAAACAAAAGGAATATAAAAGCAGGAAAGTGATTAAAAAGAAGCAGATTAGGAGACATTCTATATGGTAAGGTAATTTGTTAGCATATACAATAAAATTATATTTAATTTTTATTTGTGTGAGGAAAGTTTTTTTTTAACTAGTTGTTTTATAGATTTAACTTACAAGGTGCTTGTTGTGTGCCTGCAGTAAAGTGTAATATGAATACTTAAAATTTTTAACCAATATGAGAAAAACACATAATATAAGAACCAGATCAAACCAAAAAATTAATGTTGCTAAATTTTGAGTTATATGTTTGGTCAGAAATATCTACAAATGTAAAAGTTTGGAATGAAAATTTTGTCATAGAAAACAAATGATGGGAATGAGTCTGCACTTTTCCATATAACCACATTATTTAATTTCTGTAGTATATATTGGTGTACAGACAACATATTAATGCTAGAAATAAACGACTTTATAACACCAAAATGTTGCTTTTATTTAATTAGACAACGTTTCACTTTACAGTTTCTTCAGAAGCATTCACTAAAACAGTGAAGAAGCTGTAAAGTGAACTGTTGAATAATCTAATTTATAACACCAAAATGTTGCTTTTATTTAATTAGACAATGTTTCACTTTACAGCTTCTTCAGAAGCATTCACTAAAACAGTGAAGAAGCTGTAAGGTGAACTGTTGAATAATCTAATTAGAAAAAAGCAACATTTTGGTGTTATAAGGTCATTTATTTCTAATATTAACCCTTTTTTTGTATTATGTCAGTGATTTAGAAAGCGTTTCAAGAGTTTTATTCCTAAATTTGCTGTTGATACTAATGTTTTCTAAAAGATGATACTGTAGATGGTCGTTCTTTACAAGGTCATAACAGTTTTACTGACTAGGCAAGAGTATGGTGAAATTAGTTTCACTATTGATAATCGTAATCACAAAATATTTCAAGCACTTTCATAAGATATAGCTTCCTTCTTTGCTGATGAATCGGAAAAGCCTATCTTTTGAAAGATTTAAATAACTTAAATTAGCCTTTCCAATTATGACTGTTTCAGATTATTCCAGTTATTCAAATCTTGTGTGAGAATAATCAATTATTTTAATGTAATTGGTTAATTAGCATGATGTTTAATTGCTTAGTAAATTCCACTAATTGGTGGGATCTAAAAATAATGCACTTTTTTTTAAATTAACATAATTATTCATTATTGTGAAAACAAACAATTGAATATAAAGGGCTGTGTTTAGTTTTTATCTATTTTGGCAGATGGATTAGTGATCTTCCATTATCTTATATCTTGTGTTCCTAAGTTAATAATTGTATGCACCATTACCGTTCAGACACTACATTCTGAATGTTTGTAACTTCTTCTTTGTCATTGTATAATGATAAAAGAACTTGCACAAATATTATATTACACAAGTTACAGCTTTTAGAGTAAGATTTGTTTTTAGAACAGGTATGATGTTTCGATCACTGGTGTGATCATTCTCAAGTACACAAGAATGAGAATGATCGCACCAATGATTGAAACATCATACCTGTTCTAAAACAAATCTTACTTACTGTAAAAGCTATAACTTGTGTATGAGAATGATCGCACCAGTGATTGAAACATCATACCTATTCTAAAACAAATCTTACTTACTGTAAAAGCTGTAACTTGTAATATCATATGATTAATCAGTAAGTAAACTCAAAGTGAAACTATTAACATACACGATTGTTTTGTAAATTTTAAGTTATTTATTTAATATAGAATGTTTACCAATATAATTCAATTTCAAAAAAACTCAAATACTATTTAAAACTTTCCATGATTGAATTGTGTGGAGTGAGTGCACTTTGTACTTGCATTATTTTTGGTTGATATTTCAGACCTCTGGTATAAGTATGCATGTTCTGCATTAGGCCCATAGCTTTACTGAACTAAAATAAATATATGTGTTGTATACATGAATTTTAAATCAATCATTTCTAGCATGGTATCTGACTTTTTCTATCCAAATATGGGAGGTGTGGAAAGTCACATTTACCAGCTGTCTCAATGTCTGTTGGCTAGAGGACACAAAGTAATTGTCATCACACATGCCTATGGCAACAGAAAGGGTATTAGATACATGACCTCAGGACTAAAAGTAAGTTTTGTTTAGATAATATGTTTTAATGCAAACTACAAACACATGGCATATGTATTTATGTTCAAGAAAAAATGTGCACTTTGCTCATTATAAAGAGGGTTGAGTATGCTATATTTAAAGAACTAAATATTCAAATAATCAAGTCACATGACCACCAAACTAATTTCAGTTAGATGGTTGTTTTTATTACATTAATTGAATAGCTTACGGGACACTGTGTAATCACTGCACATGGATAATCAGTTAAATCACCTAGCTCTAATGGTCATTCACTTGAAAACATTGTGAAACATCATCTCTCATACATTATCCAGTATTAAACTCATTCTCTTTTTTTAGGTATCTTTAAAATCAGCTGTTGAAAGAATGTTTTGAATGATATAAACCTTTTATTAAAAATTTTATATTTTACTTACAAAAGCAAATTAGTGAGTATCAACATTATTTGAATACAAAAAACAACAACTAAAGTCTGCAGAACATGCCATTAAAATGTATTTGATGTAGGGTTTGGTTGAATACAGCTTTTTGAATTATGATAGTTATATTTTTGCATTAAGAGATGAAGATAGTTTTAAATTAAATGATAGTTTTATATTGATAACAGTTTTTCAGTTTCTGAATAAAGATGTTTTAACCTCTTCAGTTCATTTCGACTAAAAGAAAGAAAAGTAGCTTTAGGTACACATATTATTTTGGTTAAGAAAAAATTATTCTCATAGGCAGAATCTGTTTTTGTATCTAGGAGCAAATTCTCTCCTTCTTAGCATTGATTCTGTTAATAGATGTCTGGATATTTGTGTGATACATATTGGTGTATATACAGGGGTGTTGTATCTTTGTGTGATACATGTTGGTGTATATGCAGGGGTGTTGTATCTTTGTGTGATACATATTGGTGTATATACAGGGGTGTTGGATCTTTGTGTGATACATGTTGGTGTATATACAGGGGTGTTGTATCTTTGTGTATATGCAGGGGTGTTGTATCTTTGTGTGATACATGTTGGTGTATATGCAGGGGTGTTGTATCTTTGTGTGATACATATTGGTGTATATACAGGGGTGTTGGATCTTTGTGTGATACATGTTGGTGTATATACAGGGGTGTTGGATATTTGTGTGATACATGTTGGTTTATATGTTTATAGTTCGGGCAAACCCGGCCCCAGCACACTCCTGTGTATATGTACTGAAAACATTATTTTTTTTTTAAAAAAAACATTTGTAGACTTTATTAATGCAGTACGGAGCCAATCCATAATTAATTAATCTTCAAATTACCAATTTGTTTACCTACCATTGACTGCCAGTGATTCTGCATCTTGCTGACATTTAATAATGTGTTAAGAACTGACTGAAAAACATAGGTGAAATTACCCTTTTTTTTCTGTGGAGAATACATAGAAAATAATAGCAGTAATTTGTTGGATTAGATCCCAATATTGGGGGTATTTTTTTACTTTTTTGTGTGACTTGTGTGTTATTAGAAACATGGTAACCAACAAAGTTGTAGGCCCACAAATAATCTGGTGCATAAATTTAAAAAAATGTGTTTATGTATTGGGTGAGGTTGACATGGTAATTCTAGAAGTCTCTTAAACTACAAAATAATTCACTTTTTCTAAAACCCAAAACAAAAAAATGGAGAGTTTTTGGTTAAGCTTTAACTCTAGTTTTATTATGTTTAATAAGTTTTGTTTTTTCAGGTTTACTATCTTCCACTTTTGGTGATCTACAACCAATGCACACTTCCCACATTATTTTCGACACTTCCTTTACTACGCAACATTTTTATACGAGAGAAAGTCACTGTGGTACACGGTCATTCTGTGAGTTTTTATATGGTTGTTCAAAATTTTTCACAATAACTGTGTTTCACATGACATTTGGTTCAAAAATAATGAGCTAATTTTATGGTTCATAAGAAGTTCTTTTTATATGAAGAAACTATCTTCCTAAGCAGTGAGCTTGCACTGCCACTATCTTTTTAAACAAATGTAAATTAATTTTTAATTTGCATTACTTAAAATGTATTCTCTATTGTAAATAAACATATACTTTTGAAATCTATAGTTGCACAATGTGAAAAAAGAAGACTGAAAGTTAGGTACTTGTAAAAAGGGGATTGCATAACTATATATTAAGTTGTGAACAAAAACACTAGAAGATGAGTGCTTGAAAAAATTAGAAAGTATGGGAAGAGTCATAGAATCATATAAAAACTATAATATGTGTGACTTATCAACAAACTAAAAAGAATGATATGTATTGAAGATAAAACAGAAATGTGATGTTCATACAAAGAACCATAAGAGTGGTAGTTTTCAAAAAACCAGAAATGTGATATCTATATAAAGAACCAGCAGTGTGATGTGTTTGTACGAAGAATCAGATGTGAGGAATACAAGAAACTTAATAATTGTGATACAGAAAAAACTGAAAAGAAGAAGTTAAAGATTAATTATACTTTGTCATATGACATAAAGTTAGACCTGTTATATTTTTAACACTACATTCATAATCTAGTCCCTTAGGGATTTTCAAGAATTAGAAGAGTGTGAATTAATAGTATTTCAAGTTTGACTACACTATATTCATCATATCCATTGCTGACTAAGTATTTCACTCAATCCAGAGTTCTTCAGACTGGCTGGGATACAACGAATGCAGCAGTGCTTGGAACACTATTTATATGGGTCATTTGTTAAAACAACAATTGTTATTGTGAGAACACCTTTTACAAACTTACTAAACAAGATTATAATTAATTATACTTGTCTTAAGATGTTAAAAATATAATAGGCTTAACATAATGTCTTATTACAAGTATAATTAGTTATAATCATGCTTCACAAGCTTGTAAAAAGCATTTGCACCATAGAAACTTAAAAAGTTAGGCTTAAAGAAAAAATTAAAAGCAGAGTGTTGTACAAAAGATATTTACATCATAACAGTTGTCATACTTGAAAATTGCTGATATAAATAGTGCCTAGACCAATACTATATCTGATGAATCCCAGACATCCTGAAGAACTCCAGTGTTGGTGAAAGGCCTTGTCAGAACTTGATATGGCAGATGCGGTGCAGCTGACATTTTAAAACACATTCTCCTTTGCTTTCACTCATGGGTTCTTGGAAAATGACTAAAGGAAATAAAACTACATTCAGCCTTTTACTAACAAATGGAAAAGTTTTTCTTAAAATCTACATTTCAGTCAGGTATGCTTTTTTTCAGATTAGTATTTTAACAATAGAATTACAGAAAGTTCTTTTTTGTTTTGGTTTACACTAAACTGAAGAAGAGGTGCTTCTACCAAGAACATAGTGTCTGGAAAATAAGAAACCGTAATTTTTTATTGAATAACTAATTTTAATGTTAGTTTAACCATTCATTGTTATTTAAGTCATCTTGCCACAGCATTTTCATGAATAAAAAAAACAAGGGGTACATGGATACTGAGAAGTTAGTTTTACAGAGAAACTCAGAAGTGGGACTTGTACAGAAAAAAACTGAGAGCTATGAAACCCAGACATTCATGAAAATAGCAAGTGTTTAAAAGTTAGCAATTTTATAAAGAATCAAAATAAGTGTAACATCCAAAAATACTAAACCAAAATTAAAGGATGACATATATTTGGAGAAATTGAATTTTCCTTCTTTTTTCTTCCACCCCTCCATATCATACAGGCTTTTTCTGCTCTAGCCTTGGAGTCTGTATTTCATGCCAACACTATGGGAATCAAAACTGTGTTCACTGATCACTCTTTATTTGGGTTTGCTGATGCCAGTGCTATAATTACCAATAAACTACTTCAGATGGCCTTGATTCTGTGTAATCATGTAATCTGTGTATCACATGTTGGGTAAGTGTTATTTTGAATGACGTAAATTATTCTTCGGTCTTAATAACCCGTTCTTGCTCAACATTACTCTTTCATTTTCAGGTTGATCATCTCCTTATTGCTGATCATGATGAGAAGTTGCTAGTAGAGCTTCTTAGCTAGGGTTATTGTGGTTATCTAAAATAAAGTTTAGATCCATCTTTATCAAAAAAAGAGTTGTGGAAATGTTGTAGTCCTCATTACCAGTTTAATATCAGTTTAATATGACTTCATTCTCCATTTTCAAGTTTTTATTCTCATCCAACCAGAGAAAATGATCTGTAGAGTGTAGGTAGTGGTCCATTTTGAAAATCCAAGGGAACATCCAAGAAAGGAAAAAAAAACCCTGAATAAATGTAATTTAATATTGTCAAAAGTTAAATGATTAAAATAAAGGTAACTGCTCTCTAATCATATTTTGTATCCATCGTTCACTTGCTCATCTGGAAATATTAAATAGTGAGTTAACAAGTTTCTAACTGAATGCATAATTTAAATGTTTATTAAAGTAAGTTTTATCTGTTAACTTTAATTTATAGTAAAATATTTCTGACCAGTTGGATCTTATTTAAAAACTTAAAATAGTTTATATCAAAAAATATGTTTTTTAGTCAAATAAATTTTTATTGCCATTTGTAATGTTAGAAATAATGTAAATGCATTTAAATGTTGTGTCATATACATACAGAATTTTATAATAGTAGAAAAACAATGGTTCAACAATCAAAACCTATTATTTTGATATTCATGCACCTCTCTTTTTTTGCCTGTGAATGATAGCATTGATCTTCTGTACTATACTAAAAATGTAACAATGCTATCATGTATTGTTTTGATTTTCATTCTAATCTCATTCATTTGTACATCTTGTTATGTTCACTGAACTCATGTCAGCCAGAATATTGTCATTAGTGATATGAAACCACAACTACAGCAATCACTGAAAACACACTTAAGGTAGCACTGACCCTTAAAACTGGGCGTGCTGGGAAGACACTGTTAAACACTTCTTATAACCTTTGAGTTGAGCACAAAACAAGGTATGATGTAAAATCTGAAAATGTACTTTCAGTCATATATGCAATATACATAATTAATGCAGCAGGGATAAAGAAAGACATAACATAAACTGTTTTAACACCATAACACTACAGGTTAATTAGTAAATATTTTAAGACAATAATGAGATATTTATGTAGAAATAAGGTTAAACTTTTGATTTAGGCTAAATTTTTAAAATATTGGGTCTCTCTTCGAGGGTTAATGCTACCTTCATGAATACGTATTTAGAATGAAAAACAATATTACAATAAATTCATAAATATATATATATTATTTTCATACAACCATAAAAAACATAGCTAGTGTTCAAACCCTTCGATGCTGAGAAGACATCATTTTTACAAATTTTTCTGTTAAGCTATTTTAATTTGAAGGTTAACACTTGTGGCAATTGTTTTTAAATGCAGAAATAAAAACAGTAATCACCCAACCAGTTTATGTTATTGAATACACAACACACCCTTGATATTACTTCATGTCTGGTAGAGTTAGAAATAGCTTGTAACCAAAGATACATGTTGATCAATTAGTAATGTAAGAGTTGTAAAATTATAATGTTATGCTGGTCCAGTTAAAACAATGACAAATCTTCCATGTATTGATTTGAATAACTGGTTTATTAGCTACTTTTACAAAATATTTCACTTTCCCAAACAATATCAGACTCGGGGTTAACTACCCAATTTTGATGCCACACAATAAAGTTGTTTCTATGATACCAGAACTAGGCCTAACTACCCAGTTTCTAGGCTACGCAGTTAAGTTGTTTCTCTGATATCGGACTGCATCACAAAGAGGTGAAAAGAAATGCTTGTCTTCTCTACTTTGAGGCAAAACAAGATAAAACATGGAATGAAATATTTTTACGGTGTGTTATTATATGTTATTAGACAAGTAACAGAAGCTTGAAAAACTTCATATTAATTGTTTAAGCATTAACTAATTATAGTTTGTAAAATAAGTTGTAGCTGTTTATTGAAATGGTTACATTTATCTTGCTTCTTAATTAAGGAGGTACTTAAAATCCATAAACTAAATTTTCCCGTATTTTATAAACTGATATTTAGTATTACACAATAAAGGAATTTACCCCATCCCCACAAGATAACTTGTCACTCTTACTAAAGTATTTCTTTACTTTTTCATCAGAAAAGAGAATACAGTGTTGAGAGCTAAGGTGAGACCATCATTAGTATCTGTTATTCCAAATGCAGTTGACACAACTATTTTTACCCCTGATCCAAGCAAGAGAAACCCAGATAATGGTATGAATAAAAAATGTAATTAAAATTGTTGTATTTATGACTATTGAACAGTGTTGATATTAGATAGCAAGATTGTAAGTTTGTGAAAATCAGTATCTCAAACTTTAAAGCTATGGTAGCACTTAGCTGTTTGTTTTATTAAATGTGAGATATTTCCAGCATAGATAAAAAATTTAATCAGTGATACTCTTACATGTATTGTCTGATTTAAAAGTATCTTTCACTGTATTTAGTTAAATGAATTGAGTGTTTTAGTCATTTTGTATTAAGTATCAGTGTGAAATGTAACAGTTTATTTTCATCACAAATATACTAAACTGTCTTTTGTTTTGCAGAATTGGTTCAAAAATTAAAGAGGACATTTCTTATAATCTTTTTGTCTAGTGACCATTGTAGTTATCAGTAGACTTGTTTACCGAAAAGGAGTAGATCTTCTAGCAGGGGTTATCCCTATTTTGTGTAAAGACTATCCACAAGTTCATTTCCTCATAGGTATGTAAGTATTCTTGCTAAGGACGTTAATCTTCAACCACAGTTGATTCCATAATCTTGCATATTTTAATATCCCATTAGATTGGTCTTTTTATTTTTAACTTGTACTTTTATCATCAGTAAATCAATGGTGATTCATTACTATTATCTGTAGTAAATTACTAGTAAATCAGTACCTTTATCATCAGTAAATTACTAGTCAATCAGTACCTTTATCGTCAGTAAATCATTGATAAATTAGTACCTTTATCATCAGTAAGTTACTGGCAAATCAGTACCTGTATGATCAGTAAATCAGTGGTGAGTCAGTACCTTTCTTATCAGTAATTAAATAGTGAATCGGTATTTTTTTTGTCAGTAAATCAATGTTAAATCAGTACATTTCTTATTTGTAAATCAGTGGTAAATCAGTACCTTATCAGTAAGTCAATGATAAATCAGTATCTTTATGATCAGTAAATCAGCAGTGAGTCAGTACCTTTCTTATCAGTAATTCAATAGTGAATCAGTATTTTTTTGTCAGTAAATTAATGTTAAATCAGTACATTTCTCATCAGTAAATCAGTACCTTTCTCATCAGTAAATCAACAAACAACTTGACATACTGTCCCAGATCTTAAGTTAGTATACAAACTATAGGATTTATATACAATGTTTATATCTACCAGACTTGTGATTCTAGCTACATGAAGGCTGTTATTAATTCTTCAATAATTATGTTGACTTTCAAGTTTATTTGTGCTACTTACAATTTGACATTTTGATGTTTCTAATTTGTTCTTCATTAAGTCTAACTAAATGTATAACTTTCTGTTTACATACTTTTGTTGATGAAAGTTGGTAATTTAAAGATTAAAAGATATAAAGGTATAAACAGCTACCTAATTACACTTACAGGAGGAGAAGGACCAAAAAGAATAGACCTAGAAGAGGTGCGAGAACGCCACCAACTTCAAGATCGTGTTACAATGTTAGGTGCTGTTGATCACAATAAAGTGAGAGATGTAAGTGTGTAAAATTTCATTATTATTAAGTATTTGTGAACTTATTTTTTAAACTTTAAAGCCAGTTTATCAAGTCAAATGTGGATTGAATAATTTCTAAATATTTGAAACATATGTTGCTGGATAAAAAGAAAAAAAACTTGGTAATTAGAAACCAAATTACAATGCTAAAGTGATTAAAATCACAGCTCTTTCCTGCCCTTTGCTCTTTGCTACTGTTAACCCTATGAATACAACAGAGTCAAAGTGTGCATGTCAAAACTTTCAAAAAATTACATACATAATGTTATTAAACAACTTTATTATCAATATATGCCAATAAACTTGGCATCAAAACATAGCATATAATTCAATTTTAATATTATCTGAGTTTTAATTTCTATAGGAAATATAAGAAAAATTCTCAACCTTCACTCTTCAGTGTCACCTGACATGTTCGGCTTTGATCTGTTCCTCTTAGAATTTTCTGTCATCACAAATAAACTCCTGAGGCTTACAACTAAGTAGAAACTCAAAGTACACATACTGCCAATAAAGCAAATAAAATCTGAACTTTTTTCATTCTTGATTTGCTGAGATATCAATAAATTTGTAAAACCCACTAGAGAAGTTCCTCTCGTCTTTTCATGCCAATTATCAACTCATCTGATAGACTTGTTTATAAGATCATATTATGCTGTACAGGAATCTTAATACCATTTGTTTACATTTCATGTTAAAGATGATAGTTCACAAGAAAATGTTTGAAGTGTGTTGAGTTAAATTGTTACTTCTAGCAGTACAAACATTTTTTGACACATTTATCGTTTAGTTAGAAAGCCAAATAAAGTACAGTAGTTTTGAAATGTTCTGTCATAGTATGTAATGTATTTTTTGTGTTGTAAAATACATATTTGAAAGTTATATGAATCATGTTTTGGGCAACCAGCGTAGTAAGAAAAAAAAGGGTTACTGAAATATAGCATCCAAGTGCAAACAGACCTCAGTACATAAAATATGTTATAAATTTCTTTTTTTTTATGCATGTGTTTTACTTATTATTGTATATTTTTTCAACAAAAGTCACTAAAAATTAAAAATGTTTTAGGAACTTAAGCTTAGAAGCTCAAACTATATGAAATTTGATTGTTTTGTTTACTATATCTATAGGAGAATCATGTATGATCTCTCACTGTGATTTATTGCTTTTCACAGAATAATAAACAGTTTTCAAGGAACAAAGTCTGCCAATAAAACAATAAAAAACTGGTGTGAGAAGGTTAAAATTGTTAAAATAATTAAATTGAAGATCTGGCAACAAATAATACATTAGAATATGAAAATTGGTGCATCAAATTTCGAGAATCAAAGTTTTCTTTGCATTAGCAAAGAGTCAGTTTAATTTAGTTTAGATATTGGGAACTAGATAAGAATCACTCTTTGTAATGTGTGATTAATCTTTATGTGTGACTGACATGATTAGGTCGGCGTATGAAAGGCATAAAAATTTACTCATGCCTGTTGCCAAATGCTCCAAGTAATCACGTTAGGCATTTAAAAATCTAAAAAGATATGCTAGATTGGCATGGAAAAGATGTTGGCATTCATCTCATGCTATATAATAAAAAACATTGTCGTTTGTGGCCATTATAAAGGGGAATGTACTCTGAATGTGAAAAAGATTTTGTATTTTAATATGATGAGTTTATGATTTTGCTACCCCAAATTATAATAAATGCAGGCTTTCTTCTGCTTATATTGTCTATTAACTTGTACATCATATGGCTGATTCTATAAGTTACCAAATATACTCTTGTCCAATGATTGTAGGTCAAAACTAGAAAATTGAAAATCTAAGCTATAATGTCCTATGTTTAGAATCATTGCTACAATACAAGTGTGGTTTCCCATTTAGTAGTGTATAGTTGTATGAATTTATGCAATCCAAGCACTAGGTTTATGCCCAGATCTAAAATAAATTGTAGCATGTCCATATGATATGATATCTAACTACCACTTAGATCCAAATGAACATCTAGGCTAGCCTTGTAAACTTTAGGTTTCACCCATGTGGCACTGGTTCCTCAATGTAGGAAAGCCCCAGTCAAAAAAAAAAAAGAGCACTCAGGATTTGGAAGAGAAGAAACAAATTACAATAAATAGAGACAAAATTTTGAGAAGGGTTGAATTTTTTTATTGACCAAACGTCTCTTCTAGCACTTAAAAATGTTGATGACAGTGCCTAAGTAACTCTTAAAAAGAAATATTAAACTTGTTCCTTGATATGAATAAAGGAATGATAAGTAACTTGTATCAAAACCATACTGTAAATTCATATAACAAGATATGTAGAATAATGTGCAATCTTTTGGTTTAGGTTTTGGTTTGTGGGGACATCTTTTTGAATGCTTCATTGACAGAAGCTTTCTGTATGTCTATAGTTGAAGCTGCAGCATGTGGGTAAGTTTTTATAGAAATTCTTAGCTCAAACATTCTATACTATTCATATATTATGTAATAACATATAGTTCTTATAGAAATTCTTAGCTCAAACATTCTATACTATTCATATATTATGTAATAACATATAGTTCTTATAGAAATTCTTATTAAAGCATTCTATGCTATTTACATATTGTGGAATAATATATAGTTCTTATAGAAATTCTTATTAAAGCAATCTATGCTATTTACATATTGTGGAATAACATATAGTTCTTATAGAAATACTTAGCTCAAACATTCTATACTATTTACATATTGTGGAATAACATATACTTCTTATAGAAATACTTAGCTCAAACATTCTATACTATTTACATATTGTGGAATAACATAGTATAGATATTCTAATTAAAACATTCTATACTATTTATATATTATGGAATAACATATAGTTCTTATAGAAATTCTTAGCTCAAACATTACTATTTACATATTGTGGAATAACATATAGTTCTTATAGATATTCTAATTAAAACATTCTATACTATTTATATATTATGGAATAACATATAGTTATTATAGAAATTCTTAGCTAAAACATTCTATACTATTTATATATTATGGAATAACATATAGTTATTATAGAAATTCTTAGCTAAAACATTCTGTACTATTTACATATTGTGGAATAACATATGTAACTGCGTAACGTGTTAAAATGTTTTTGTTCTTTTTTATTTCACCTAAATTTTGTGTTAAATGTACTGAGCATGGCTCAAACTGTTCGCAGAGGCTTATAAACATATGTTAAGTAAAGGCAGAGCCTTGCCAACTGATTAAAAAATAACTAAGAAAAGTTTTCTCTTAGTCCTGAGTCTTAAGTTAATCAATTGACTGTGATTACTTGCAATATGGTTATAACTGTGATAACAAAAATTAGAAAATGTTCTTTTTTTCTTAAATTTCTTTCCATTTTGGTATAAATCTTCATTTTCTCCTGGTATACGTAACCAGAAGTTATGTAAAGTCTACAGGAAAAATAATGTTTTTATTGAAATATGATTTCACCAGTTAAAATTCTAGATAAGTAGACATTTCACAGAAGTTATCTTTCTCAATTTATCCAACATGTTTTCTTAAAAACTAAGGTTGAGTAGATTCTTAGCTAAATTTTAAAACTGAGATTAATGTGATGTAATATTAACAAACCTTTGTAATCAATGTCAAAACAGTTCTTGATTTGGGCAAAATAATAGTGATATACTTTTGCTTCTCTCCAGGTGGTCAAAGATGATGAAACAATTATAGTGAATCATAATTGAATAGATACTAGGAAAAAAAGTCATCTGACAGTATCATTCAAAAAAATAGTTTAAACTTAATTTAGAGTATTTAACTGAGACAAAGAATTTGAAAATTAATTTTTATTAGTAAATCATTCTTTATACAACTACAATTACATGCTGGTAAATCATATGCAGGGAAACCTAATGAAATTTTAGCAGTTTGAACATCTTTTTAATGTGATTTGTAAGATTATTTTTGTATTGATATACTAAAATGTTTAGCTTGCTTGTCTACATGGTTTGTGCCTTAACATTTCTGTTATATGTCATCATATAAAAAAGGAACATCTACAAATGCATTTAATAAGAGTTACATGCACAGATCAGCACTTAAATACTTGTTTCAAATATATTTAGGCCAAAAAATCAAATAACTATATTTTGTATCAGTGTTTTTTGGAACTATATCCAAATTATATGTAGTATTTGTGTTTAGAGGCGAGTTCAGTATTTTGAAAATGGAATGTGAAATATTTTAAAGTAAAAAACTAAAATCATTGCCCACCATGCTCCACTAACATGGTTTCTAAACTGTGGTTCACAAAATGTATCAGTATGAATAATAAAACTAAATATAGTAAAACTTAAACGTATTTTTATTTACAACTTATTCATAAGAGCTCTCCTAAACTTCACTTGAATACAGTAAAACAATATCCCTTCTCCTTCATTTCAACATGATACCAGAAAATTGCCTGACTACTCAGGTCGGTCATAAGTTGGGAACCAACCCCTGCTTTAAGAAAAAATTTCACTCGCCACATTGTATTTTTCTAAATTATACAAACAGAATGATGATAATTGAAAAAATTATTAACATGAAAGGAGATTATATACTTATGATAAATAAAATATCTTGCTGCAAGAATCAAATAAAACAGGACTAAATGCAAGAAAACAAAATGATAAGTTGAGAATATTTCAAAATTCACCCTATGATATAGCTTTTTGTATGTCCAAAGGTCAGTGTTCATGTAAAAGACTGACAAGAAAATATTATAAACATGCAATGAATATTCTCTGAAAAGCTAAATAACATGAATTATTTTAACTCAGTGAAACTCCAATATTAGCAATTGCTGGATATTTTGTTTTTTAATCTACTTAAGGCCCACAGTTGCAATTCTTGATTAAAGAGTATAGTACAAAGTTATTAGATATATTAAATTTCTTTCCTCTGGAGCTAATGACAGTTTATAAAAATTGTCCAGTCAATGTTTCATTTTTTCAAAATGTAAATTAAAATTTTCATTATGCATGTATTAATTATAGTATAATGACCAAAACAAAAATATAAGTTATGCAATATTACAATGAGTAAATATAATTACAAAAGTATTATATAGTTTCTTCTCTAGTTTGCAGGTTGTAAGTACTAAAGTTGGTGGAGTGCCTGAAGTTTTACCACCAGACCTGGTGTGGTTGACAGAACCTAGCATAGCTGGTAAGTAAATGATTTCTCACTCACTTCCAGTCTTGGTGTGGTTGACAGAACCTAGTATAGCTGGTAAGTAAATATTACCAGACCTGGTGGGGTTGACAGAACCTAGTATAGCTGGTAAGTAAATGTTATCCCACTCACTTCCAGACCTGCTGTGGTTAACAGAACCTAGAATAGCTGGTAAGTAAATGTTACCAGACCTGGTGGGGTTGACAGAACCTAGTAAAACTAGTAAGTAAATGTTTTCTCACTCACTTCCTGTACCCCAGTGGCACAGCGGTATGTCTGCGGACTTACAATGTTAGAATCCGGGTTTCGATACCCGTGGTGGGCAGAACACAGATAGCCCAATGTGTAGCT